CCTCCCCTCTCCCACCCTCTCTCTTCCCCTCTCCCACCTCCTTTTCCCAGTCTCCCTGAGTTTTGTTCAATAAAGAGAGTTTCTATTTTTGAACACACGTGTCCTTTATTTTGTACATCAGGAAGGGGGGCTAGGGAGGGGTAAGTGGAAGGGGGTGAGGGAGGAATGGGGTACGAGCCCCCAATGGGGAGGACTGGGATGGCTCTGCGGGCTCCTCGGGGTGGAAGCTCTCCTGCTGCCTCCCAATCCTCCCCCCCCCCCAGATGGCAGCCTACGGCATGTGCAGCCAGGCTGATGGCTGAATCCTGTGATATGCCGAGTGTGGGCATTTAGGGCACTCCAAGCCAGGACTGCTTTGCTGTCCCTCATCAAGTTAGACAAGCGAGCGGGGAACCCCTGAGAACTGTCTGTCCGGGGTGGGGGTCGGGTCCCTTTAAGCACAGCCCTCGGCTACCCTGAGACAGCAGCTCCACGCTCTAAGTCCTAACCTGATGCCCTGCCGGCACTGCTTCCAGCCATCCTTAACATCGGTTCAGGGTCCACTCAATGTGGACATGCTAGTTCGAATTAGCAAAACACTAATTCGAACTAGTTTTTAGGTCTAGGTGCACTAGTTCGAATTAGCTTAGTTCGAATTAACTAATTCGAATTAAGTTAGTTCGAATTAGTGCTGTAGTGTAGACATACCCTGAGAGATAAGTCGTGTGAAAATGATTCTATAGCTCAGTGATCACGATGCTCCCTCAGGGTTTGGTAGACTCAGGTTCAACTGTGTGCTCTGAATCAGCAAGAGCAGCACTGTGAATCCGCACGTCCTGCATCCCAGTTTGGGGACATGAAATGATAAGGCCTTACGGGGTCTTATGAGTGGGGCTGATCCTGTAGGTGGTCCCAAAGGATTGGGCTCTGTTGGCAAGAGGAGCAACCCCTGGTTAGTTTGCGAATCTCTCTGAGGAGAGTGTACCAAGTGTGCAGTACCAAGGGCTCTGAGCAGCTTGTTAGCTGTGGGATGGCATCAGTATTTAGGCACCTTTGTGTATGCTGACCATTGCTGGTAGCCTTGAAAATATTAGTGGTGCCTAAATAGTGGACCTACGTGCCCTTATAAATCTGACCTTAACGTGTTTGATTCAACAATTTGTAATGTTTTCCATTCTCCCGTGGAAAGTCCTGTATTAATTAACATTCACAAATCCCTGTGGGCTACCTGCAACTGAATGTTAATGCCTCGCTCAAAGAAAACCATATTAACCATATCATAGGGCATCTACTAAATACAATACCATATGTACAAACTGTAAGGCTGTCTGGAGTGGCTCACAACTGTGAGTACTTTCCTTAGGCCCTGACAGAAAACAGGTTAGACACCCCAATCTGCTGCTGTGTTCTGAGTTCATCAATCCAGTAACACGTGTAAACATGGGTCACTGTAGCAGTCTTACCATGGAGTCACACAATTTCCCCTCAGACTCTTGAGCCTATCTTGCCACCCAGACAAACTGGGCATTGTGATAAAAGGTCACGTAGACCAAAAATCACACCACACCAGGTTGTGCCCCATCCCAAAAACCAGTCACTTACCCCAGATCAACCATTACTTTAGATCTTACACCATAGACAACACTGGCAGCCAATTCTATAATAAACTAAGTTAAGGTTTATTAGCTAAAAAAGGAAGTGAGAGTTACTGAGAGGTTAAACTAGCTAAAATATGCACACAGGTGAGTCACAATTAGTAATTCCAAATGGCAGCAGAGATGTAATAAACTGCTAGTTTCCCAAAAGTTTTTTCAGAGTAGCCAGATTGTGTCTGGGGATCTCCACTTTGCATACACTTCCCTGTAAGAGTCCAAACAGTTCAGAGATGCTGCATCTTTCCTTGATCAATACTTAAAGCTACATTTCACAAGAAACAAACTGACATCTGGCCTTTTCCTTTGATGACAGAGAGCGAGAAATTCATTTTGAGTCTTCGACCTCTGATCATAACACACAATTGTAGTAAGTTGAGGGTCCGTAACATGGAGTCAGCAGGCCTAAATAGAGGCCTGTAACATGAAAACAGCAACAGGCCTGCAATATAGTGAGCAAGACTTTGGTTCAGTAACAGGAGCCAAGAAAGAGGCCCTACTGATAACTGTATAATTGTGTAAGTTAGGTGAAACATGGAAGGACACAGGGAGGCACTGGGTACAGACTGAACGCCAAAGGGGAGTAATGGAACATCTTAAGGAATGTCTTGGTACAAAGACTCCCTAAAAACTAATAAGGATAAGTAATAAGTAAGTAATAAGTAACTAATAAGTAAGCCCCCCTTCCATAAGGTGAGGGGTGGTATCTAGGCAACAGAGGGTGGCAACCTGGTAAAAAAATGACATAAGTTGTTTGTACCTGTCTATAAAAGGACCCCGCAAAAGGTGCTCTCCGGCCGACCTGGGGAGTTGGGGGGCGCACTAGGCGCCTGAACGGCAGGTGTCATTGCCTAAACTTACAGAATGCACAGTAGCTTAACTTTAACTAACTGCTGTTAATATCTGTTATATGGCAATAGGCCTGCCCGGTGTTGGTACCTTGTCAACGTGGGCCATAGTGCCCAGTGGTGTAACATTGTACTCATCTCTGTTACCGACTGGTAGAGCTTCGCATTTGACAATAAACCTGCTCGATTGATTTCAAACCTTGCCTGCATCTGTCATTTCCAGGGCCTCTCAGAGATCTCCTGTGTTGACCCAAGTGCATGGGGTCTAACACTCTAGATAAAGGGAGTACATGATTGTTAAGCACGCAGCCGAAAGTTTATCATCAACGACGGAGTAGAGGTCCTGTCAGGAGCACGTCAGGACGACCCTGACCAGACGATGCTGACACTGATAGTCCAGACCATCGAAGGTACCGAGGTACAAGACACCGAGGTACGACAACAATGACCACTTATTTTGAAATAAGCCTTTTCTGCTAACGTTCTTCATTTACATTCTATAAGCCTTCTTTCTCATTTTGGGGGGCTATTTATTTGCAGGGACTTACACAATGAAAATGTTTGCTGCTACACAGGATACAGGTAAGTGAAAAGAATGCAAGTAACATCCAACTAGTTTTCATGAAGTTTAAACACCGAATGTACTTTTATAAGTTTAGCAATCCACTTTGATTTATACTAATCAGATCTAGCCACAGGAGTTTCTCTTCCCTGAGCTAAAACTCAAGCCTATTAATCTAGGTTGCAGCAAAATCATCAATCTTCATCTGTGGCCCAGACACCACTAGACAAGGGCTAAAGTGGCACATTGATTTGGGTCACATTTGCTGCACTTGACTAACATTTTTAGGTACCTCCTGGGTTCCTCATGTTGCTATTGCCAAAGAATAGTGGCGAGCTTTTTATGTCTTCGGTAGTGATCACTTTCACCAGCGTGACAACAATATCAATGGTATCTAGCAAAATGGACTCTATGAACCAGCATGAGCCATACCAGCCCAGCAACATAAAATTAAACAATATAATGTAATAGCAAAACCATCTCTTGGATGGCTGTTAGTGTTTGTCCCTGCTCCAGCTAGCTTTTGGCAATTTATTGGCCTGATATTCGGGGATGCTGAAAACCTTCAACTCTCACTGAAGTTAGCAGGAGCTCCAAGGCTGTGTCTAGACTACATGCCTCTGTCGGCAGAGGCATGTAGATTAGACAGATCAGCAAAGGCAAATGAAGCTGCGATTTAAATGATCGCGGCTTCATTTACATTTACATGGCTGCCGCGCTGAGCCGACAAACAGCTGATCAGCTGTTTGTCGGCTCAGCGCGGCAGCCATGTAAATGTAAATGAAGCTGCGATCATTTAAATCGTGGCTTCATTTGCCTTTGCTGAACAAACAAATCTACATGCCTCTGCTGACAGAGGCATGTAGTTTAGACGTACCCCAAGTGTTCAGACTGGGCGTGTGTATGCAAACACAGTTCGTCTCCTCAACTCCTCTTCTCAGCTGATCATTAGATGTCAGGAGAGAGCTCATTCAGACTCTTCTTACACAGGCTATGGCAGGACCTCTATGCATGTAAAGGAAAACCTGTGACTTGAAAAGTGTGGCGGCAGAATATCCACCTCGCTGAAACAAGAAGGCATCTGCTGACTCAGCAGAAGGCCTGGATAGGCCATACCACCATGCCTAAAAGAATCTATAAGATCTGGATATCCTAATGATGATCATCCAAGATAACAGAGGTCAGAACAAGCAGTTTTTGCACTAATATTCCTCATCCACTGCCAATGGAAGGTTGCTAGGAGACCACTCCTTAGCTAACATGTGTATATTATAACTAAGCTGTGCATACCCGAACAGATAGCTGGACTCAATGCAGCCAGTAATATATTGTGTGCAATCTAGGGTGCATGCTTATTTTTCAGCTCACACCCTGGACCTTCTTTACACCCCCCAATAAAGTACTCAGATGAGTATTTTATGCATGGAAGATCCTGAAAATGCATCCTTCTGTGCAGCAAGTAAAACTGTGCATACACTGGAAATATTTCATTTGGAGGAAATTGCATTATGCTTGTGCATTTGAATTATGTTATGATAATTACTACCTGGTAGGTGAAAATATTCAGTGTCCATAACACTGTATAAAACCTCAGCATTTCACATACACAAAATATGAAAACATTATTTGGATTGGAATTATTTAAAAATCAGAATGCCATAAAATGTAGATATGTTTTATACAGTTATTGAAAATCACCTTTTAATAACTTTTCAATATGTAGCTCATTAAATATATTAGGCCAAGGTGAGTCATGTATTAAACACGAGGAAAATACTTGAAGCTATCTGTTGGTAGTCCATCACTGATGATCATGATAATATTGTGGCAGTTCTCATATCTGATGATGCATATGACTCCACGGTCTGAATCCTGAGGCACAGAGTTGGTCACACTGAGGGCATGGGCAGTCTATAGCTGTCCTATTGAATGATGCAGCTCTGTGGTGCCTTTCATATGCAGCCTAGAGAAAAAGTTGTCAATCCCACTCAAACCTGTAACATGCTGATCTTGTCAGAAACTTCCAGGGAAGCATTGTTTTGAGCCATTTGCTCAAGTTCCTTGGGAGTTGGGACTGATGCCAGCCCAGTGAAGACTACTTTTCAGATTAGCTTTGAAGCACTTATATGGATGAACCTTCATTTTCTTATGTTGCCCTGACTCAGTTCCCCACACAAGATCAGTTTTGGGAGTGATCTTCCATTCTACGGACATGCCCTGGCTACTTAAGCTCTCAGTAACATTTCCTCAATGCTGATTGTGTTTGCTCTTTCAAGGACTTTAATTTTGTCTTAGTGCAGCTATGTTGGGCCACTGAGTCCAGGGTTGTGGCATCATTAGACTAGGATTATTTAATGCATTTTTAAATGTATATGAAGCATTTTCCTTGGGGGCTCAATGTATTTTTATAGCACTTAAATATAAAAGGAAATAACACACACACATACGCCAAGGGAAAAGTGAACTACCCATCCAAAACCAAAGCTGACTAAAGAGAATCAGTCAGCCATAAAAGCATTTGCAACCTGTGGGTTAACAGCTCCCTCCCCCACTATTGGTTCCCTTAAATATCAATTCCTACAACTCTCATCAACATTAATATGATTTACATGTACCTTTCAGTGCTGGAAAAATAAATACCTCTGAACTCAGCTACTAACCCTTCCCCCAGACTGTGTCTGATTCTTGATGACTTGAAGCTTGTTGCTATTTATACCTGTGCTCAACAGTTTTGAAAAGCTACCAGACCACACTGTATAAGTGGAAGTGATTACACAAAGTAAAAGGCAATTAAGTCTCTAAAATGAACGAGTGGAAGGTGGAGTGTCCTGACTGCTGTTATGCTGTATGAGTATCTGACCTTGCAGGGCTAACAGGTGGGAATTTGACTCATTGTTAATAGAACTCATTAAAATGTATGGAATTTTTTTTTGTTTTGTTTTGTTTTGTTTTGTTTTGTTATGGGAGGGAAGTTAGGTGAAGAAGCCATGAAGTAACTTATATCAGGGATGAGCCCTCTAACATCAAAGAGTAGTTAAAATACCTGCCATGCAGAAGATATGTCTACACAGCAACTAGACACATGCAGCTTGCCTGTGACAGCCAACTCAGGCTTCCAAGGCTCAAGCTATGGGGCTGTTTCATTGCTCAGGCTGGAGCCCAGGATCTGGGATCCTGTGTGGAGGGAGGAGCACAGAAATCTACTTGGCAATGGAACAGCCCTGCATCCTGAGTAAGCCAGCATAGGACAGTTGTGAGTTTTTCTTTGCTGCGTAAACATACCCTGAGAGAATAAAATAAATGAAAGCAGGACCTACTCATTCCAATAGCTGAATTCAAACACAAGTTTAATAAGGAACTTCTGCTCTGGAACCTCTGAAAGTCAGCTAGACAGACTGGTTCAAGCAAAGCTGTGACAAAACCATTCAACTATGTCTGCTGACAGCAAGGCCCAAATTCATAGTGGAACCCTATCCTTCCCCCATTCTTCTCCTCCAATTCTCCGCAAACTCTTATTCCTTGTCAGTTAAGGGCATTCAACTGTACTTGGGGGTAGGGCAAAAGCGGAGGAATAGACATGTGGCCAAATTCTGCTCTGTCTTTGGGTATGTCTACACTACAGCGTTATTTCGAAATATCTTATTTCGAAATAGTTAATTCAAAATAAGTTATTTCGAAATAACGCATCTACACATAAAATGCATTTCGAAATAGCATTTCCTATTTCGAAATAGCGCGTCCACACTGATTGGACGCTGAATCACATTTAAGGCCAGCTGAAACCGGTTCCAGCAGGGCATCAGGTCAGTAGTTGTTTTGTGTGGCTGCTGTCTGAGGCTATCTGAAGCTTGTGCTTAAAGGGACCCCTCTGGACAGCCGGTTCTCAGGTTTTCCTACTTGCTTGCCTACCTCGCTGAGGGACAGCAAAGCATTTTTTCCCCTGCCTGCTTTGGTTGCCCTGACTCGGGACACCTCAGCACTCGGAACCATGGAGCCAGAGCTGCCTCTGGGCATTCTGGTGGTCATTTTGGATGTCTTTTTGCAAGCCAGGCAGCAAGTGCTGGAGACTGCTTGGCAGTTTCTGTGGCAGCCCAACCCCCAGGTTCTCTTCTGGACCTCTGGGGGCCACGAAGGAGCAGTAGCTGGACGCTAGCATGCCCCACCGCATCTGGCATCTGGACACCAGCAACGACTGGTGAGACCACATCTTCCTGGAGTGCTGGGGAGACCAACAGTGGACCCAGAACCTCAGGATGAAGAAGGACACCTTCCTCGAGCTCTGTGAGTGGCTCGCCCCTGCTCTGCGGCGACGGGACATGCACATGAGGCTCACCATTCCCCTCCAGAAGTGTATGGCCATCGCCCTCTGGAAGCTCTCCATGCCGGATAGCTACCAATCTGTGGGGAACCAGTGCGGCATGGGGAGATCCACCATCGGAGCAGTGCTCATGCAGGTATGGCAGTCTCCAGACACTGTGGTGGGGGGGCAGGTGCGAGGACGCGATGGGCTGCCCTAGGGAAAAGAGAGGGAGGGGTGCAAGTCCCCTCCCCTGGTGGGTTGTTCTGTCACAGCTGCACTCCAGACAGCCTGTGGTGGCCAGGATTGCGGGGGAGGGGGGTTGCTCCTGGGGAGGAGGCATGGGGCAATGGTGGGGAAGGAGCACTCTCAGCCACCCTGGCACCTCAGTGACTATAGGTGGTTTTGTGTGTCCCTCTGCAGGTGGCCAAGGCCATCAACAGAGGGCTGCTCCACAGAGTCATCTGCCTCACCTGTGTGGATGCAGTCATCGAGGGCTTTGGTGCCCTGGGCTTCCCCAACTGCAGGGGTGGATCAATGGGATGCACATCCCCATCCATGCCCCGGAACAGCA